TGATTGGATGAGACAGCATTTGATGCTTTACAAATATACGGTCCTATAGGAAATTTCAAGAGGCGCTCACATACATTATCTCATTTAATTCACACATAACCCTGTGAGGAAGGAAACAGTGGTGAGTCTATTTTCAAGGTGAAGCCAGTACTGAAGGTCAAACAGAAAAGTAACAAAGCCAGGGCACAAACTTGGATCTTCTGCCTTCCAGGTCTGTACACTTTGCAAAACATCCAAATTTTGAAAAATATTATTATTGGCTCTGGCATTGTTCAATGTACTTGTTAGACACACAAGGAAGAGGAGGTGGAGGAGGAGGAAGGGGAGGGGGGAGAGGAAAGCTTTTGAATTTTCCAAATAGTCCACACTTTACTATGATTACACCACTGTCCTCTGCGCTTTTTGTTATAGAAATGGCTGGAGTTGCTTGTCCCTTAAATTGTGGCTACAAAACCAACATATGACCTTAAGTGCCAGCCCAGGTGTAGGTTATTCTTTGGTTAGTTAGCACTAAGTGATTATTTTAGCAGTTGTGTTGCTCTATGTGAAAAGTTGTATTTACTTCCTCAGAAACAGCCACTGGAGTTCTGATTAACAAATCCTTTGGTTTGTTATAGCTTGATTTCAAATAGCTTTGAGGCTACTATCAGCCTCAAGGCAAATTTTGCTAACTAACAGATTTCATACACTGCTTGGGGTTTTACGTGGAAATCTCCCCCAGACTTCCTTTGGCCTGCCTTCCAGCAATTGTCCGGTTAGGCTGCTCACTTTCATTTTTAATTCATTTTCTAGCAAAGTCAACTCAAGAATGGAAACGTCTCTGCCAGGCTCATGGCTTACAACCATGGATGGGTTAGAAGCCTATTAATCGCTGCTCTGCCAAACTTTAATTTGACCTAGAACTTGAAACCAGATTAAGTCATCAGTAATTGTCCCAGGCCAGAAATGGCTAGATATCTAGTATCATAAATGAAGGCTAAGCAAAGTGGTCATTTACCTGGATCATCTGTGAAGAACAGGTAGTGGTTTTTATTAATGTAGACTTGCCCCTTTGGAAAATCTCTTACCTATATCCCACTTTATTTACTACTGAATAAATATGATATAAACTTATTCATCTTATGAGCTTAGCTTGTATTTTTAAAGTATCTCGAAATGCTTATATGAAAATACTCACTAGGCTGTAATGAATTATTATGGTAAATTGTAAGCAGGAATGAAGATTATAACTCCTAAAATATTCGATTCTCATATGTGTAAAAATGAAAGTATGTTAATAAATTAAATATATATTTATGAATCAAAACTAAATGTTAGTATCAAGTAAATATTAATAAACATGGAAAATATAAAAATGTATGAAACAGTCCTGGCTCTCAGTGAGTTTACAATCTACAAGAGAAGAGAAAAACATAAAAATTAAATAACAATATAAGAGATGTCAAAAGGTAATATGTTGTTAATTGCCACCTGAAATGCAATTAGCAGAGTAACTACTCTAGCTCCGAGGAAGGGATCATTTCTGGAAGCAGCAGGTGGGGAGGACTGTAAGAAAAAGAAGATTTCAGCTGGATCTTGAAGGCTGAATCCACTGAGACAGAGAAGGAGGAAGGGATTCTTGATGGAGGGAACCCAGGGAGAAAGAGTACAGATGCAAAAAAGGAAAGAGCATAGATCCAAAAAAGAAAAAAGAATACAGAACTGCAAGATACGGTGACGTGGAGAATTCTAGTGTGAGATAGTGCTGGGAAAGCCCATTTGCAACTGGACTAAGGAGGGCTTGGAATGTCAAGTTGAGAAGTTAAGGTTTTTGAACAGAAAAGCATCTTTGGTCAAGGCAGCATTTTGGAAATATTAACCTGGCTGTGGTGTGCCAGAGTAAATGGAGCAGGCAGGACTAGAGGCCAAGAGATCAAACAGGACCCGTGGCAAGTCCAAGTCCAGGTTCGGGTGGGAAAGGAAGAGGTGGGGGCAGGAAATCGGCGGAAGGAGCGCCCTATCCGTCAAGTGCGCGCTGATTGGAGTTTGTGGTGGGATGTGTGGGTTCCTAAGAACGGATTCACTTTAGCAGCTGCAAGTGAGGAATAAGGAAATCTGTATAAGTTGACATGTGGAAGCTTCTCTTAATATTGTGCCCTTAGCTAAGCACAAAAGGTATTAGTCTAAAAAGGTAAAAAAAAAGTACCATAAGACGTAGGAATTAAAGGAGCTCTGAGAGCATTTTAATTTTTACCAGAAAGCTAACTCTGGTTGAACATGGACTATTCCAGCCTTTCCTGTCAGTAAAACTGAAGGAAAGCCTCAAGAATTCCTGGGCTCCCGTTATGCCTGTAGCCCTACGTTGGAGGTCCTATTAGAGCAACTCTCTGGTTTGGGATGTCTATAATTTAATGTATTTATTATACAGAATTTGAGAGACTCTTGATGTGAATGAGCAGGGAAAAAAAGTTTCAGGAGAGTTTTCCAACAATTCAAATGTCAGGGCCTCAGTGCTTGGTGTGTTTATACATTTAACGATACGGTAAAGTTATTGGCATCCGGCTTCTGCGCTGAACCTCTACGATCAAGTCCTGGCCTTATCGCTCACAGAAATGCAATGCCTTTGTCCTTCAGGGGCACTTAAGGTTGGCACACTCCATTCCAGTAACACCACTTGACAGAAGGATGGCGCCAGATAGAAGGCCTCGTCCCCACATTCCCCGCGCCCCACCCTGCAGCCCAGCACTCAGAGCCTTTCTCCTGGGCAGTGTCAATTTCAACTCTTTCCAATCCCTTGGCTATTTTGAGACTGCCCCTTGGGGGCCTGGAAACCGGAAGGGGAGACTCAGGCTTGCAGTGACTTGGGTAACTAGGGGTACAGTCTTCCTCTCCTTTTTCTAACTCCTCTCGTTTCCTAGCTCCCTCAACACCCCCACGTTGGCAAAAGTAGGCTGATAAATCCAGGGCGGGGGGTGAATAGAAAAATCACCCCCCAGTTGTAGCATTCTAATGATCAGGTTTGGGCCTAAAGCAAATTCATATGTTTGGGTTTATATAAGGGAAGGGGGTAAAACTGCTTGACTTTATAAACTTAATAAACATTACTTTTTGCTCTTCACCTGGACAGCTGTGGAAGTCAGTCTGTCTCTGCAAGGTAAGAGTAAGAGATTGGTCCACATGTTGATGTCCCTTCCACACTCTATTCTTTTTATTCCAATGCTAGAACGAAGGCATGAGCATTACATAACATTTTCTTGCACTCTTATGTAAACAATTAGAAGCTGTTTACTTCTCAAGGATTCAATCAAAGATTTTTTTTTTCAAGCCTGAGCTGAGGACATTACCAGGGCCAAATTAGAGAAAGGGCTTGAGTCCTGCTACATTGTGTATTTATGGCTTTCCTGCCCCCGCTCCCCGATTATATAATTCACCTGCAGCTAGGTTAACAACTCACTAATTTCAAACCTATTCATTTGCCAACTCAAAAACCACGGATATAACTTTAAATGTTTTCGGATTTTAATCCTCTTGAGTATTTATATATTTTTGTCTCTCATCCTTCCAAAACTAATCCCAGAGTTTTGAGAATCTGGGAATTTGGGCAAAGGAGAAAACCACCACACAGACCAAGAAATTTGAAATCTCAGTTCGCTACGTCAGCCAAAACTGACAGTACCTTTTGGTTTGTATTAACCCAGCTCAAATTATAAAATCATCAGAATAAAACACAAAATACAGATGTTGTTACTGAATGGGAAAAGTCTAAGGTGTGATTAAATGTGTTCTTTCTTCTGGGTGGTGTCATTTATTCGGTACCTTAAGGTGTGTGTTTCCCTAAGCTTCCCCCTTGATATTATGAACACACACTGTCGCATCCTACTCACAGAGTCATTAGCTAGGACTGAGGAGTGTGTACTTTTCCAATTGGTCCTCAGCGTCAGCTGTCAGATGCACAAGCCTTCGCTTCCATTCTACGTCTACTGCACTTGCGGTTCAACAGAAGCTCCTTGCAAGAATAGCGCCCAGAGAACATTCCTGACAGATGCGCAGTTGGCTCCAGCAACTCGCTCTGCTGGAAAGTTTCCTCCAACCACTAACACCCACCTCCGATCCCCAAGCTGCCAGCACGCAGGCTGGCTGGGTCCTCTCTTGACGGAGGAAGGATTTTACACACACCCTGCCAGGCTGCCCGATCGCACAACCAATCTCGTAGCCAAACTGCTCCAACCCCAGCGGACAGGCTGTCCAAGGCGCCGTGGCGCTTCAAGAACACCGAGATCCCCTGGGCGCTAAAGGGAGCAAGCGCTCTGTTCTGTAGGGAGCCCCGGCATTGGAGGTAGAGGGGATGCGGGCAAGCGGGGGCGCAGGAGGGAGCGAGCGCGGAGGGCAGAAGGGGCGCAGGAGGGAACGGAAAGCAGGAGCGAGTGGGGACGCAGGAGGGGTTGGCAAGGACGCGCGTGCGAGCCGGCAGCAGCAGAGGGCGCAGGGGAATCGGTCGTGGAACTAGCGGGCGCAGGAAGGGGCGCGTTCGCAGGAACCGGCGAGCGCCCGGGACGCGCTGGCTCCGCGATCTGCCCCGACTCTCCTGAGCCGCTCAATTGCGGGTAGGAGGGGTGTGGGGACTTGGGGGAGAGACCAGACGGGGGCGTGCCTTTGCCCCATTGGCTGCAGGAGCCTGACGCGAGGCCCCGGGGGTTGGCTTGGGGGAGTGGGAGCGGGGTGGGGTGGGTGCTGTGTGCCGGAGCTGCGGGTCCGGCGCGCTCAGAAACATGCTGAGGTCCCGGCGGCTTTTCCAGCAGCGGCAGCGGCTCCAGCAGCAGCGGCGGCGGCAGCGGCGGCGGCGACAGCGCTCGGCTCCGGCGGGAAAGGCGCCCGGCGCCGATGCCTCGGGCCCCGCGCCGCGGCTGCCCTGACCTGGCCGCGACCTCCCTCCGCGCACCCCTCCGCCCCGGCTTCTGGGGTGTTCCCCAACCACGGCCCAGCCCCGCCACACACCCCGCCCCCGGCCTCCACAGCTCGGCATGGGCGCGGGGGCGCTCGTCCTGGGCGCCTCCGAGCCCTGCAACCTGTCGTCCGCCACGCCGCTCACCGACGGCGCGGCCACGGCGGCGCGGCTGCTGGTGCCGGCGTCGCCGCCCTCCTCGCTGCTGCCTCCGGCCAGCGACGGCCCCACGCCGCTGTTGCAGCAGTGGACGGCTGGCATGGGCCTGCTGATGGCACTCATCGTGCTGCTCATTGTGGCGGGCAACGTGCTGGTGATCGTGGCTATCGCCAAGACGCCGCGGCTGCAGACGCTCACCAACCTCTTCATCATGTCCCTGGCCAGCGCCGACCTTGTCATGGGGCTGCTGGTGGTGCCGTTCGGGGCCACCATCGTGGTGTGGGGCCGCTGGGAGTACGGCTCCTTCTTCTGCGAGCTCTGGACCTCGGTGGACGTGTTGTGCGTGACGGCAAGCATTGAGACCCTGTGTGTCATCGCCCTGGACCGCTACATCGCCATCACGTCGCCCTTCCGCTACCAGAGCCTGCTGACCCGCGCGCGGGCGCGGGCCCTCGTGTGCACCGTGTGGGCCATCTCGGCCCTGGTGTCCTTCCTGCCCATCCTCATGCACTGGTGGCGGGCCGAGAGCGACGAGGCGCGCCGCTGCTACAACGACCCCAAGTGCTGCGATTTCGTCACCAACCGGGCCTACGCCATCGCTTCGTCCGTCGTCTCCTTCTACGTGCCCCTGTGCATCATGGCCTTCGTGTACCTGCGGGTGTTCCGCGAGGCCCAGAAGCAGGTGAAGAAGATCGACAGCTGCGAGCGCCGCTTCCTCGGCGGCCCCGCGCGGCCGCCCTCGCCCTCGCCCGCGCCCGCGCCTGGCTCCCCGCGCCCCGCCGCCGCCCCGGTGGCCAACGGGCGCACCAGCAAGCGGCGGCCCTCGCGCCTCGTCGCCCTGCGCGAGCAGAAGGCGCTCAAGACCCTGGGCATCATCATGGGCGTGTTCACGCTCTGCTGGCTGCCCTTCTTCCTGGCCAACGTGGTGAAGGCCTTCCACCGCGACCTGGTGCCCGACCGCCTCTTCGTCTTCTTCAACTGGCTGGGCTACGCCAACTCGGCCTTCAACCCCATCATCTACTGCCGCAGCCCCGACTTCCGCAAGGCCTTCCAGCGCCTGCTGTGCTGGGCGCGCCGGGCCGCCCGCAGGCGACACGCAGCCCACGGCGACCGGCCGCGCGCCTCGGGCTGCCTGGCCGGGGCCGGGCCGCCGCCGTCGCCCGGGGCTGCCTCGGACGACGAGGACGAAGACGACGTCGGGGCCACGCCGCCCGCGCGCCTGCTGGAGCCCTGGGCCGGCTGCAACGGCGGGGCGGTGGCGGACAGCGACTCGAGCCTGGACGAGCCGGGCCGCCCGGGCTTCGCCTCGGAATCCAAGGTGTAGGGCCCGGCACGGGGCGCGCACGCCAGGCGCCCAGATCCCCACCGCCGCAGCCCGGACGCGGGCTCTGCGCCCCGGGAGAGGAGAGCGGGCGCCCTTGAACAGCTTCCCAGGGGAAAGAGATCTGTGTTTACTCAAGACCGAAAGCAGGTGAACACGAAGCCCACAAACCTCGTCTGAATCATCCAAGACAAACAGAAAAGCTACGGACCGTTGCACAAAAAGGAAAGTTTGGGGAGGGGTGGGATTGCTGACTTTTCTTGGGTTCTTTTCTGTCTGTGGTTCGGCCTTTTTTGTGTGTGCGTGTGTGATGCATCTTTAGATTTTTTTTCCCCTGGGTGTTTTTTGACACTTTCTGCGAGGACCGGAGTGGAAATGGGGAGTGGGGGCAGGGGAAGGGAGAAACATTAGGAGATAAAAGACCATGAACTTGGCTTCCATCTCTTTCCCAGGAACAGGAGCAGTCTGCCAGAGAGAGAGAGAGAGAGAGAGAGAAGGGAATGACAGTTCGTCGGGACATATTTCCTTTTGCTTTCCAGAGAAATTTCATTTTAATTCCTGAGTAATGATTTCGCCTGTTCGGAAAGCAAAGGGAAAGGATGGATGCAAAAAAGATCACGTTTCAAGAAACTAAGCTTTTCTTGAAACAAGCCCCACCTTGCTCTCCTCCTGTAGGGCAAACCGGCTGCCCCCCGCCCCACCCCACCCCACCCCGCGCGCCTCGGTGGTCAGGCTGAGGGATTTCTACCTCACACTGTGCATATTGCACAGCAAGATAGAAAGACTTGTTTATATTAAACAGCTATTTATGTATCAATATTAGTTGGAAGGACCAGGCGCTGAGCCTCTCTCTGTGACATGTGACTCTGTCAATTGAAGACAGGACATTGAAAAAAAAGAGGAAACAGTTCAGATTACTGCACATGTGGGTAAAAACAAAAAAAACAAAACAAACAAGGAGTGGTTCAAAATGCCATTTTTGCACAGTGTTAGGAATTGTAAAGTCCATAGAAGATGTTACTTGCACAAAAAGAAATAAAATATTTTTTAAAGGAGGAATGGGAGGTGGACAGATCTTAAAAACTAAAATAAAATTCAAATTCTATTCCTGTTGTCTATTATGTTATTGAGCTAATGATTTATTGGGAAAATACCTTTTTATACTCTTTTATCATGGTACTGTAACTGTATCCATATTATAAATATAATTATCTTAAGGATTTTTTTATTATTTTTTTATGTCCAAGTGCCCACGTGAATCTGATAAAAATTAGCACTTGCGTGTACATTCTATTTCCTGTTGTGTGTTTTACCAAGTATTTATACGCTGGTGCAACTAACTACTGTGTGAAGAATTGGTCCATGTGCAATAAATACCAATGAAGCACAATCAAGATTATGTACCGTGTATCTGTAAGGGGTCAGTGATAATGAAAAAGACTGTTTTGTTCAAAATATAGACTGGATTTCCCATAGAGCTCTTTTAATAGCTTTTCATGACTCAGTAACATAGCAAAATGCCTGTAACCAAATAAGGCGTTCACCTACTGAGAGCTACAGATTTGCCCTCAATTTTCACAGCCGGATTCAAGGTATCCTAGACTACTTGTAGACACTTTCAAGATCCCATCTGCTGCACTTGACTTAAGAAGTGACATTTGGGATTGTGTATCTTCTAAAAAGGAGAAAAAAAAAAAAGTGATCGGGCCATGTAACTCAGCTGCAACTTTTCACAGAAACGCAGGAAAGAAGACTAACTCATTGAATAATCAGTTGCCTGCTTGGAATGCGGTAAGTGGCTTCCACAGCTTATTTTTGTGTTCTGATAGAGAATCACAGCCTACGGATGATCAGTGTGTGCAGATTTCTGCAGTAGCTGTTTAGAATCAAAAATGTTTTCATGGTTAAGCAAAAATTTATAAAAGGGCTTCTAAAGTAAGTATTTTTTTCTCTTGTGGCATTAAATAGATCATTTCAGTAGAGGTTCTGGGTGGACAGGTCACAGGTGAAAAAGCAAGTGTGAAATCATTTAACTTTCTAACAAAATTACAACACCCAATGGATAGGGTATATTTCATTAAATTAGTTCCTAAGGAAAGTATAGTGAAATTCCATCCTGAGAGGAATTATAGATTCTGCAAAATAAGTTTAAGTACTTATCATTCTATTTTTAAATAAACTTTTCATTTCTTGACTGAACAGTAAAGAAACCAAAGTGGAGAGTGTAAGGTTGTGGTTCATGCTGTGTTTTAACATGAAGAGATTATTCTCTACTAGGGGAAGTCAGGACTGATTTTTCTCTTTTGCAATGGGATATTATTCTAAAGACCAGGAGACAGTCTTCCAAGAAAGGTTAATGACGTAGATGTTTTAGAGACCAGCAGAAGGGTGCATGAACAGTAGCAGTTTCAACAAAAGCTGGTATGAAGTTGAGCCCCTTTCCAGCAAAAAAACAAAAAAAAACAGAGAGAGAAAGGAGAGAAGGGATAAAAATGGCAAAGCTTCATTAAGAATACAAAGATAAATACTTGAAGTGTATTGTGGAGAAGGTAAAATCAATTTCAGGATGAAACGTCACTGTAATTTCCCTAAGAACCAAATATAGTTCTCTATTCTACTCACCCCCTGCCCATGAGTATGTAAGATGCATTTTGTTAGAGGTTTTGTGCTTCCTTATTTTAAATTAATAGACTTAATGTTTTCGGTTTCATTCAAAGAACACTGAAGTTCTAGGTTAATGCTTCACTTTCCTGTTGTCCTGATTATTTACTTATTTTGTCTAGATAAGTCTTCACATTTAAATATAAAGGAATATTCCCAGCCCAAAACATACATACAGGCCCATCAAACCTCAGGTCTGAAAATCAGGAAGGTCCTTTAAGCTTTACGAATAAATATGTATAATTTAACTACTCAGTAGACACAGTGAGTCTCTTTAGTGAATTAGAGAAAACCACTATAATCTTGGGACCAGTTTATATATAGTGGTAGGAAGTACAAAAAGATTTTTGTGTGGTCTGAGTGTTCCAACAGAGGATTACAAGGATTCAGACGCAGACCATGTCAGTGATTCTGAATACCCATGAAAACTACTTTTCGTTGTTTTTGAAGAAGATAGCCGTTGATTTATAATAGGGCTGCAAGTCCCAATAGCTATGGCACTTTGAGGAGCAAGCTGCCAATCCTGTTTAATCTGGTGAGATAGTGCACTTGCAGAAGTGGCAAGAGAAAGAGGAGGAATGTGCAGAAAATCAGCCTTATCTATGGGCTTGTGTGTAACAGAGAACCAAAGCATAAACCTTAAAATCACAGCAGGGAACTAAAATGCAATCAAGATTCATTGATTTGCTACGTTGGAAATGATGTTTAGGTTTAACACTGTAAAGTTCTCTAACATGTAACAATCAAGATTTTCCAGGATATATACATTCTCTCTCCATTGTACAAATGTATAATTGGTATACCATATAGCTTGGTCCCTTGGTGAACTTGCCTATATAAAATGTTGCAGATTGAGTTTATTTATTTATTTTTTTTGGTCTGTACTTTCTTTGGAACTGGAATTATTAATAACTTCTAAGTGGCTATTGTGAAACCTTTCCTTGTGAAGCACGTTTTCCTAGCTTATTTTAATTTCACATTTTGTTGAATGTGCTGACTTCCTCTGGCAATACGTAAAATTGCCAGGCGGAAATTCTGCACCCAAAGTGTCGGGGTAATATTAACATTTAACTTTTTAGCAAGAGCTTCTAAGCAAGAGTCCAAAGGAAAATTATTCTATGTCTTTTGCTGCCAATTGTGAAAGACTTTTTTTTTTAAAAAAAAGGTTTCTAACAAAGATAGTCCATTCGTTTTTTTTTTTAAGGAAAAAAATAAAAACCTTAGCAGTGATTCAAATAAATGCATTGGCACAGATAATGTCATTTTATTTGTACATTTCTGGCATTATGTGCTGAGAAATACTAATTCTTTTGATTCCCTGCCAATTTTCTACTAATCAAAATGGAGAAGATATGCACTGTTTGGATTATACCTAAAAATAGTTGGGCTACAGTCACATCAGCAAATGGAATTAAATTAATTTCTCTTTCTTCCCCTTTACACACACCCTCCACATTATTTAAATTTTCATCCAGAATCTTGCTCTTGAATCTCACAATTTTTTTATTCAATGTGTCCTGAATAGCATTGCTACATTGCAATGATTTTCAGGCAGACTCCACTGAAGTGCTTTCCAGGGTGTACCCCTCTCCTGAAAAAAAAAAAAAAAAACATGTTTAGCCTGCTCTCATTTAAAGAGTCTCAACTCGATAGCCTTTATAATGTAGTCAAAGAGGTATCAATGCTATACATAGATACTTTGTCGACTAATTTACCTCACTGATAGTCTTTTTACTCTTTTGTGGGAGGAGGGCGACAGTGTCTGAATCAATCAGATCTGGTCATTTGGTCATGAAACAGATGAAGAGGCTTCCAAATCCAGTTGCTGTAACGATGTACTGCAAAAACAGCAGCCCCAAGCAGCTCACACTACGCTGGGAATATCAGAGCATGATCCTTGCAGTAATGTTAGCAGCACCCAAGAAAGCACTGGATGTTTGGCAAAGATCACATCTCTCCCCACTCCCCTTCTATACCTGAAGACAGTTATCTTAGAACCACCGTACTCCCCAGCCCTTTTTTTGAGTACTTTTTCAGTTCTTGAATAAGCTAGGAACATCTAGACATGCAATTCTTGATAAATTCTCTTCATAGCAGCACTAAGTTCTCATACATGGTTTCCTGAAGCTCTGATTTCCAACATCTCTCAACATGTACAATTCTTTTTTCCTCTTTTTCTCCCCACAATCCCTTGCTCATAGCTGTTAATCAGGAGTAGCAAGATCCCATCGTTTTCTTCCTATTTATGACACAAAACTTACCTATGTTGCATTTTAAATGTCAAGTTTGGATTTCTTCCTGAGAATTTCGGTATTGCTCATAATTATGTGGCAACTCCAAGC